ACATCAACAGATTCNCATACCTAATTTTTTTAAAAGATACCGGAAATGTCGGTTGTTCAAAATTAATCTCAGGTTAACAGGTTACGATATGGACAACCTGTAACCTGCCCTGTAAAAATTTCATAACCTGGCCCTGCCCTGCCCTGCTATTTTCGCAGCCTGCCCTGTCCTGCCCTGTCAGGGCAGGGCAGGGCAGGGCAGGTTACCTGCATCCTGCAGGGCTCTAATCGGTGATTAATTTTCTCTTTATAATAATATAGAATTTCGTACTTCAAGATGGGTCACAGAATATACGAGGACTCTTTTCTTTCAAAATCAACTGACTCATTTAAGTAATTTTTCGAACATTGTTGTCATCTATTATATAAGAAACAAGGAATATTTAAAATGATTCATTTAAAAAGTTTTTCTACATAAATTAAGCATTTAAAAAAACTATCTTTTCTTCGATCATCGAATTCGTCAAGATAAAAAATGATTCACAAACAACATAACAATACAAAAAAATTACCCAAACACATTATTTTATGATATGCAACTTCAGTTGTTCTTTGCACTCTTTTTCTTCAATTTTCAGATGACAATAACAATAACAATGTCTTTGTCCTCTGTCCTTTCAACTAATTTCGTATAAAAAATGAATCTTGTCGAGTAATGTTTCTTCTAGTAACAATATTCAGCAGGGCTTTGATAATTGTCCAACGTTTTATAGATAAAAATTAGAAGATATAAATAATAATTAATATTATATCATAAAAAGAAGGTTATCTAGTTGCATTTAAAATAACTTCAGTATGGAAGCAGTTATGAGTTTGCTTCTTTTTTTTTCTATACATAAATCAATCAATACTTTCTCTAGAATCATACTAATTGTTACATTAACTTCAACAGTTCACAAATGACATTCAGTCGTTTCAAATTAGTTTAATTTCTATGCTAAGTAGATGTCAATGATTGGTTTCATGTTCATTTGTTTTAATATTGCTTCTTATGTATAAATTTTAGATCACTCTAGAAGCTAGAAAAATTTCAATTTTACTTCTAATCTCATACCTATTTCATCTCTAGATTTATGCAGTTATTTCTTGACAATAGAACTCGCCTAGAAATGTGTTAATTTCGGTTGGAACAGTTTGTTTTTTTTCTCATAATCGCGACAAATTTTCAAATTTTGATCCCGCACATTTCTAAACTCAACTGATCTTACGTAAATAGAGGAATTGAAAAAAAAATGCCGCACACAATGAAAATAATCAACATGACACATATAAAAGTTAAAGTAAGAACAAGCACCAGTAATATCTTAGAATTCTCTCTTTTTATATAAAGATGTTATTATTTTTAAAAACAAAAGACAAAATAAAATAAACATCATATAATTTTGATAGTTGTTAATAATTCTTTTGTTTGTTTTGCCACTTTTAACATGGACATCCATTTGATGATGGTGGTCGAGGATTTTGGGGAATTTTAAGAGGTGCTGGAAAATCCGATGTATTATGATCCATATCTTTTTCACGTGCTAATGCATTACGTGCAACCGTTTCAAATGCTTTTTCAACATTGATACCTTCTTTAGCTGATGTTTCAAAATAGGGTACATTTGATTTTTCTAGAAAAATAAATCTTAAGAAAGATCTTAGATGAATTTTATATATTTTTATTCATACCTGAACACCAATTTTGTGCTCTACGAGTTTGAATCTAAATAAATCACATAAATAATTAAATATAAAAAAAAAATCGTTTTTCAAACAAACCACACGATTATCAAGATCAACTTTATTACCAATAACCTAAAACATGAATGTAAATAAACAGAAGTTCTCTTTATAAAAACAAACAAACAAATCTACATACCACAAATGGAAAATTTTCGGGATCACGAGGTCCAGCTTGCTATTGAGAAAAAAAATAATTTAATTAATTATATTAACTCCTAAATCTTACAATAAGAAATTCATCTCGCCAACTGTCCAATGAAGTAAATGAATTGGCCGATGTGACATCATAAACAAGTACACAACAATCAGCTCCACGATAAAAAGCAACACCTAAACTTTGAAAACGTTCTTGTCCAGCTGTATCCCATATCTATATAAAAAAAAAAAAAAAACATTTTGTTTTCTATGTAATTTTCATTAAACATAGACACACCTGCATTGTTACAAGACGATCATCAATTTGTACTTCTTTGGTTAAAAAATCTGCACCTATTGTTGCTTTATATTGATTAGAAAATTTATGTGAAACAAATTGTCCCATTAAACTTGTTTTTCCAACACCACTATCACCTATTTCATTAGAATTCTACATGTAATAATTAATTAATTAATTAATATTACATACCTAAAATGATGACTTTAAGTAAAACTTTCTTTCGTCCGGCCATTTCGTCTATAGGTATCAACAGAAAAGAAATCTAAAAACACAAACGTATCATCATATGACGTGCGAACTCATTGCTATTATCTATTGTTATTATTTCCTTCGGACTTTCACTCTTCTTTTTTATGCTTTTTGAAAAACAAAAAAAAAAATATCAACAACACATTTTTCTCAGCTGATTTAATACGAATAAAGAATATTTTTTTTTTTTATGAATGTTATTGTAAGTATGACGATGCAAGAGAGAAAATGTTTTACTGTTAACAGATAACAATTTTATGTCTTTAATAATCGCTTATATATATATATTCTGTATTATGTGAATTCGAAAAATAAACAAAAAAAAAAAAAATTTTTAATTATTTGATTTTTCTTTTATAAAATCTAAAGCTTCAATTGAATAATGATCTTGTTTTCTTTATTGAGATTTACAAATAGTTATTTGATTTGTTTTTTATTTATACAAAAAAAAAAAAAATTATTAATTATAAACCATCGATCTTATAATGATGTCTACCAAATTCTTGCATGACAAAATAGACTAATCAATGACATTATCATTAGCTTGTAATATAACTCTCAATTATTATTTTTTTTTTTACAAATCGAATGAATCACTTGATAGCAGGTAGATATGTCATAATCAGCAAGTCAAATAGAATGATTATTTTTCTGACATTGTTCTTTTTCAAAGAAATATATTCATGAAAATAATATGTTGCATTGAATTTGTCCTTGAGAATGAAAGAAACAAATTCAGTTGTTTGTATTCATTTTATTTACATGTCACGGAAAACGATACAAAATAACCTTGAATTTATATTGAAGCTTAGAAGTTTTAAAAATTACTCAATTGAATTTCTTCTTGATAATAGTTTCAAGAAAGAATAAATTTTATATTTTTATCAATAAATAACATGACTTTTCAAATATATTTATTATATCACGTTTTTCTTGTTAACGATCATATTTCACAAAGATCAAATTCAGTCGACTTTTTACAGACTGTCTCGACTTATGTGTATTTTTAATATAATAATATTATGAAAAATTACTAAATGGAAGCAGAAGAATGTTTTCATTAAAAAAAAAGAAGGAAGGAAATCATATACACCGAAATGATATGACTTTATATATATATATAATATTTATTACGTTGATACACTATGCCTCTGTCAAAAATGGAAAAAAGAAATTTTCTTTTTAAATAAAAATATTTTTAATCAATTTGATAAATTTAGTTGAATAATAATAATGATTCAGTAGTATTCATTCGCTCAATCTCGAATAATTTTCGTTTTCCTCCAGCTGACTTGTACAATTTCGTTTCATTTTTATATTTGCATTTTCTTTGCTCAAAAAATTAAATTTTTTTTTTTATTGAAAATTCAGCAAAAACAAATACAAGATATACAGACTATCAACCTGACAGGTAATACCAAAGGCGTTAAATTCGCCGCTAAAATGAAAACAAATTTTGCTAACCTCAAAAAAAAAAGACAACAAGAGAAAAACAAGGCTGCTACGTACTCAAAATAACACTGCGCAAAAAAATTAATTAGTTTCATCAATCATCGATTATTACTAATATTTTTGATCTTTGGTAATTCCAGAAACGATTTATCACAATCCAATCAAGGCTTAAAAATTTTGTGTTAGAATAACTACGAGTAAAATGAAGAGTTAAGAGTTAAAAAACATGAGAGTAATGAGTTAGATTGAGGTTTAGTAGGATAATGAAGTTTTCTAACTTGCTACTTTTCCTTTGAAAGTTTCATTGTGAATTATGGCAAACAGTCTATTATGTGTAATAGGAAAAACAAAACAATGATTAATCTAAATAACGATACAAGCATACGACATGCCCTAATTCTCTCCATATTTAGAGAACATAATAGGAAACATATGCATGTCAAAATGAATGATGAAAGAAATTGTACAAAAAAAAAAAAAAAACAGTCAGAATTATTTTATGTTGACAAATTAATTATGTCATTTGTACATGAACTTCGTATGTTAATTGCTACGAAAGAAAAACTTTATTAGCTTATTTTCATGTAAACAATAATTGTCCTAAAAATTTCATCCTACACATTCTAACGACAAATATTTTCATAGTTTATATGATCAATACATTTTGACGACAATCATATCTTTCTCTTTTCTTTATTATTCTATCCATAAAACAAAATCATTTTTCTTTGTCTCAGATCAAAATTTTTTTTCTTTTCTTAGTTATATATATATATAGATAAATTACAAACACAAAAGAGATGACAAACACAAACAACCGCGTCATTTTTTTCTCTTGTAATTTTCACACAACGCAAGCAGGAAAAAAGATATAGAAGAGAGTTATACACATGCACAATACAAAACATTATTTACAAATACAGTAAACATTGACATATATATATATATGTAAACTATATAGTAGAATGACAACAGCATTGAAATATCTGACCCAAAACAAGAGAGAGAGAGAGAAAGAGAGAAAACAAACTCACTGTATAGACGCGTATATAGGTCAGAAAAAATATGTAGGTAAAATGTTCGTTTTTGTTTTTCTATTTATTTCAAATCAGTATGTGTGTAATTCATCCAACATATTCTTATCTTTCATAAATAACTTCATATAAAGTCGCTTTTTTATCACCGGAACCGGTCACAATAAACATATCATCTTGAGATACATCGCAACTTAATACAGACGAACCTTCTTTATTCTTAAAAAAAAAACAAGAAATAAATTTTTCGTATTTAAATATAAACTTCTCATTTTTTTGTTTTGTTATTAACTTACATCAAATAATTTTGCACCATATGGTGTTTTCCATCCAGTTAATTGATTATCTTTACTTGTTGATACAAACCATTTTCCTGTATGTGCAAATTTTAATGATAATACACAACTTTCATGTAATGTTAAACGATATTTATCAGGTTTATTTGATGATACATTTAATATATCAATTAAACTTTGTTCCATACCAACAGCTAACCAATCACCACCTGTTGGACAATAACCAAGTGAAAATATTTGTGAATCAAATTCATATTGTTGTAATTGTCGACCTTCACGTACATCCCAACAACGTACTGTATTATCAAGACCACCTGTCCATACACGTAAACCATCCGGTGTTAAATCAATACAACTTGCACCATCTGTATGACCTTGAAATTGTCTAAATAGAAAGAAAAAGAAATATTTTCCTTATTAAATATTTTTATTTACCGAACAATTGTTTGATTTTGTATATCCCAAACAAGAACATTTCCATCTGAACAACAACTAAAACATAATTTACCATCTGTTGAAACAGCTAATGCATAACAAGCAGCAGCTTTTGATTGTAATTCTCCTTTAAGTCTTGTTAATGATGTATTTGTTGATGATGAATTAGATGATGTTGATGAATTTGAATTACTACTATCTTTTATTAATGTACTATTTGGTGTTATTGATGGAGTTAAATTAAGATCCCATATTGATATATTTGATGCTTCACCACCAACGATTAATGTTCGACCATCAGGTAAAAGTTTAACCGATCGAATATATGCATCACGACTCTAGATTATTCAAAAAAAACAAAGACAAAAACAAAAATTATTTTTTTTTTTTTTAAATATTTATTATGTAAATGAAATGAAAGTTTGTCTTTTTCTTTTACCAAACATTCAAATTGACCAATTGGTTTTGTATTATTATTATCTTTTGTACTTTCTTTTAAATCCCATATTTTAACACAACCTTTTCCACCGGTATATATATGTTTATTTAAATCAGATATTGTTACTGCACAAACAACATCACCATGTTGTAAATGACTTAAAATTTTTATTCGACGTGGACAATCAATCATATCAAATGCATCTGATGGAAATGTAAATGGTTGTAATGATGATGATGATGGTGATGAATCATATGAATCACAATGATATGAATAATGTTGTTTACTACCATTTCGTTCAATTAAATTTCCACTAGTTGCTGCATTCGCTGATATTAATAAGGATTGTTGTTGTGGAATACGCATCGCTGAATAAAAATCGTTCAATGTACTGCGAGATGAACCAGTTGGATTTCCAGCGAAGGCTGTATTGAGACCAACAGCAAATGCAGCCAAATTTTCCGGCATGAACGCTCCGTAGGGTCCAAATGGTGCAGCTGCTGAATACACACACACACTGATCATATTTTTTATTTAAGAAACAGATTCGGCTAAAGGAGGACGTGATGACATACGGGGTAATTTCGGTGAATGACGAATGCCACTACGTGAACTTGATTTGTTCGCTGAATTTCCGGTCAATGATGTATTCGTTGCTCCTGCTGTTGTGATCGGTGTCGAACCACTTTTCTCACTACCCTATAATAAACAAAATCTTTTAACATCATAAAATTTATTTCTAAATATAATTTATTTACTTTTTGTGAAGGTGTACTTCGTGCTGAACCATTATCACTATGAGGACTTCGACTATTATCGTCATGATGTGATGATTTATGACGTATAGTCGAATTTATTTTTGATGATGAATCACCATTTTCATGTGGTGAACGAGAACCATTTGTTAATTGTTTATCGTTCTAAAAATACAAAAGAGAAGTACTTGTTAAATTCCCATTTAAAAAGTGTTGAATGAAATGTCTCGAGAAAATGAAAATAAATTCATTTTAATAGAAAACAAAAAAAAAAAAAACATTTCAATGTCCTCGAGCTCTTTACGACTTATGTTCAGCAAATTGCACTCATTCTACGAAACGTCCTGAAGTGTGAAATATAGTAATTTTTTTTTTTTAATGCAAACAACCTTTTAAGCCTATCGCACAATAATAGTCAGTCGTAAAGACCTCGAAGACATCAAAATATTTTCTCGATTAGATGAACTTGTTTGCGCAGAACATTTTTGATAGAATCCAGAAAATTAGTTTTCCAGGGATTTTGCACTCAAACTTATCTATAAGAATTTAAAAAAGAAAAACTACTTATCTTAATAGGAAATTATTTCAATTAATCAAGTTTTATTTTTTTTTAATCTTTGTCTTTAATTTCATTGATTATATTAAAATTTAGTATTTTAAACTTACCTCGTTACCATCATCAACAACTAAATCTCCGTCACTTTTTTCACCTTCACTTTCCTATGAAAAAATAAAAAGATAAATTTTTAATTAAAAAAAGAAAAGAATTTTTTTTTTATTAAAATTCATACTTCATCACGTTTATGTTTTTTTGATTCAAATGGTGAACGACTATGACCACGATATTTCTCATTTATATGATGTGGTGAACTTGCATGACGCTAATAACAAAAAAATAATAAACAAATTTCACATAAAATTTTTATTTCGAAAGAAGAAAAAAAAAGAAACCAAAAATAAAATCAAATTTAATTATTATACTTTATGTGATGATGCTGCTGCACGTTCTAAATTATCTAAAATAATTAAAAAGAAATAAAAATTATAACTTTATTTTATTTCTAAACCTTTTTCATCTTTAAGATATGCTTGTTGTGCAGCTGCTGCAACACCTTGTAAAGCAAGAAGTCCAGGCGGAAGTCCAGCAGATCCTGGTAAACCAAAAGGTGATGCACCAAAATGTTGTGCTTGACTATGCGCATGAGGAAAAGCAACACCTTGTGCATGCATTTGTTGCTAAAAAAAAAAAAACAAACGAATATTTTCTTTTTCGAATAAAATTATATGTAATTAACTAACGCCTATAATTGCATTTAATTCAGCAACTGTAACTTGTTTTGCACGTTCAAGTGTTGCAGCTACTTGATTTTGTTGCTAAAATAAAAATCGATATAATATATTTAAAATAAAAATATTTTTTCATTATACTTCTTGAGATAAACATGGAAGTATTTGATGACATATAGCTAAATAACGTTTAGATAATTCCGATTGTCTATGCATTTCAACATTAAGTCCATAGGACATTTCATAATACTAAAAATAAAAGAAAAATAATCAATTAATTAATTATCTTATTAAATAATTTACCATAACATATTGACGATGAACTTCAATTTTTTCTTGTGCTAATTTTTCACAATCAAATTTTAAACTAAAAAAAAATTTTCTCATTTTCCAATGTCTTATTATACTTTTTTTTTTGTTCTACCTTTGACACTGTTGTTGTAATAAACTAAATTCTTTTTTAATTCGATCGCAATATTCAATAATACTAAAATCCACCTGAGAAGAACCCTAGATAAATGTATTAAATATCATATTTAATGAAAATTTCTTTTTTTCATACCTGTGGACCACTACGTCCGGAATACATAGTTCCAGTGAGTTTATCTTGTCCACCGGTATTAGATATAGCGGAACCGGTACCGCTACTAACTTTCTTTTTTTTCTTACTACTATTAGAATCTAATAGATAATCGTCGTATTGTTTAGGTGATTGATGTATATTGTTATTATTAGCAACTTTGAGATTCGTATGTGAATGAATTTTGAAAATTTTAATTCTTCACTTGCGCACAATGGCAATGTTGCATAAACATCAAAAAAACAAAGAAAAATAATAATAATAATAATGTCAATACAAAACTAAAATCAAATTGAAGGATAAGAAGTACGAGAGCAAAAAAAAAAATCTCTATCGAAAAATTTTTCTTTTCTATGTTTGCAAAATATAACAAACGACATATTGCTATGATGTGTATGTGTAATGATTTGCAAGAGAATAAACAGAGAACATGCAAATCTATCAATTCATCCAATAGTAATATAAAGCACTTGATGATTACTCAAATAACACGTGGATAAGAAATTTAAAAAAAAGAAAAAAACAGAAAAACGCTTGATAATGACATATCGAGATAAAAATATTGGAAATATGTTATCTTAGCACAACACAACAGGGTGCATGAACAACGAACATGTTCTAATCATTTTCTATTAGTCGACGATAGAAAAGCAATAGTGCGCGTCGCATCAGAAAAAGAGAATCGACAACGATGAAGAAGAGAAGGGAAGAAAATAATCGTCGTCGTTGTCGTGACCTGACGTGCCCGAGTATTGTCGGCAGTATGGCTGCTGCTGCCGGCGCATGATAAGGTTACATATATATATATATATATACAGGAAAAGAAAAACACACTATATAGTCGTCCTCTACAGCGTGTAAAGCGAATGCGTGTTACTCTCTCTCTCTCTCTCTAGCCGACTACAAGTGTCCAATTTACACACACGATCTACATAGACAAAAGATACTTAATTAATCGCGATCGATAGAAACAGACAAAGGCCACGATTACTAATACCATCATTCAACATAAGAAGACGAAGAGAAAAAAAAAAAAACAAAAAAGCAAAAGATCAAAAGTTGTCGTTCGTGATGCACATAAAGATATACCCAAAGGACAATACGAGTCAGATACGAATGCATGCTTATTCTAAAATAATTGTATATATATTGGCAGTGAAGAACGATTAGCATTTAGGATAAAGAAGTACTGACAAGAAATTCGAGATTGACATATGGTCTTTATCAAAGGACAAGCACAATTTAATTACGTCAAGTATTATCTGATTAGAAGTAGGTGACTTTTGATCGATCAGAAACAAAAAAAAAAAAAAAAAAGAATAAAAAAATGTTCGCCTGCTGTTTTTAATGATAATTAATATGCGATAGGAATAATAAATTACCGTATATATATCTAAGTTGACTTCTATGAGTGTATTGATGGCGAATAACTGATTACATTAAGGTGTATATCCACTTGAGAATAAACTGTGTGGATGACGTGCAAATATTGTCTAGAGGCAAAAAGGGGTTTTTTTTTCCACTTTCTTCCTTCATCTTTTTATACTAGATTATTCTTATTATTCTGTTGTTCATCAAAGGCATAAATGAAGTGAAGAAGAATAACAGAAAACGGAAAAGAGCTAAGATAGATTATAATAGTGGTAGTAATAGAAAGCGAACGAGAGAGTGCAATACAACGCTTCAATAATGACTGACAATAGAGATGAAAACAAGTTAAACAATGTATTGATGCAAATCTTCCTCTACTAGAGCGCACGAGTGGTCTCTCTCTCTCTCAATCTCATGTATCAGTCTATTGCTGTTAAAAGTAAATGGGACCATGCGTGCATGCAAAAGGAGATGATGTGTATTGTATATATATATGTAAAAGATGAAATGTTAACCGGATTGAGTTGCCTGTTCAATTACTATTCTTTCTGTTGGTTATTGTTTGCTTTCTCTAAGAGTACGACCAATTGGCATCGTTTATAGATGTTCGCATCTATTCTTTTTTTTTTCTCTTACTCTATTATTCTCCATGTCTACATAAATATATATATATATGAATGTATATATATATATATATATATATGTCCGCTGCTTTATTTTGATTTAATCAAGACAGTCAGCTCACAAGCTAGTCGAACTTCTCAAGTGTCACTTTCATCCCATCGTTCGCTCGCTTCTACTTACACACACACATGCACACGCTCGCATACATACTCATATTCACGTCAGAGCACACAAATCGCTATTATGATTAAAAATGAACACTCTTGTTATTGACCTGAGAGCAAATTCTTCATTCCCATCGGCAGACATTTAAGATAGAATACAGGTGTGAATGTGTGTAATAGCGAAAAAAAAAACGAGGAAAGATGAAAGAAAGAATTGACGATGTGAAAGATAATGAGATTAAATGTGTATATGAATGTATGCAAAAATATTGTTGTTGGATTGTTGACACAACTCAGGAGTGGTCGTGTTTCTTTTCATTCTACACTTCTCATCATCATCATCATTGTCGTTGCCGAATGACATACGCCAGAATGTATTCGTGCTCGGAAATAGAAGTACTAATCAGTTAATATAATGCAAGCAATAATGATGAGAAGACAAAGAAAATAAAGGTGAGATCAATCGCGAATGGAAAAGAGAAAGATTGTGAAACATGTAAAATAAGCAAGTAAATAATTTTGTCTAGAAGAAATAAATAATGAAGAAAAAAAAAAAAAAAAGGAAAAGAAATCGTTGAAAATTATTTACATACACATCGTAATAGTTGTATTCGAGTAGAGAAAAGCATTATATCATAACAAACATACATATTAGTAAAGCGTCAGTAATAATAATGATGAGGATGAAATCAAGAAAAGTAAAGAGAACGATAACAAATCGACGACATATGCTAATTAACACTACCTAGTTCGAAAAAGCAATTGAATAGCTATAGACGACGAAGAAGAGAACAAGCCAAAGAAGGAAAGAAACGATCATTTTTCTCATCAATCGATCGACAAACTAAACTACTCAAGAATGAAAGCAAACAAATGAAAATAAAGGAATATATAAAGGCAAATAGAAAAAAAAGAATCAACATGAAGTAGGTTTGTTGAAAAACATTTAACAAAAAAAAAAAGTTTAACTTCTCTTAAGAACAATAAATCAGAAAGAAAAAAAAAAATATATATATATATATAACGTCCTCTTTTGACAAGAAAAGAAAGAATCATAATAATATAATAATCAAAAATATCACATATCATCTGATTGGTCAATTTTTATTATGATTCATTTAAATATTAAGCATATTTATGCACTATGAAAATGATATATTAAATAATTCATACAAAAATTAATTAAAATAAAAATAAAAGATTTTTTTTCTTTTATTAAAAGAATAAGAGAAAAAAATTTCTATAAACTATTGTCAACCTTCATATAGATAAACATGTAAATACATCGAAACAAGATGGTGTAGATATAAAAAAAAAGAAAAGAAAAGACTCTTAGCAAAATATGTAAAAGATTTGATTATTGTTTTCAATATCGATTAAACTAATTTTATTTTATTTTAGATAATAAAATTCATAATTTCTTTATTCTTTAAATATCATTAAATGAAAAGAAAATTGCTATGTTAAAATTATTATTAGAAGAAAATGTCCTTGAAAAATACATACGAACTACTTTTCAATGATTATATGTTTTTTTGAAGAATATATTAAATAAAATTTCTAAGATTATTTTATTGTTTTAAGTAAGGTTAAAATTTAATCACTATTAGCAAAAAAAAAAGCTTTGTTTTTTCATTGAAAATTAATCGACGACAGAACTACGCACGGATTGTTTAGAAATTATACACAAATTGTTTTATTTTTTCAGACAGATATGTGTAGATTAAGTGATTGAACGAACTCTCGAGTTTTTTTTTCGTACTAAAAAAGAAAGAGAGCTATTCGGAATTATGTTTTAATCGTATATTTAATGTTGAACGCTGCATTAATGTTTCTGAGTGTTGACAATCGAGCAAATCTCTGATGTACAATGTGATTTTTACTAGCTCGAAGAACTGTTCTTTTTTTCTTGGAATACTTTAATGAGACTTTCTACAACTTTCTGAAATTTCTCGAAAACTACTTGATAAGATTTTTTGGTTGAGAGATCTTGGTAACGTCGGCGCTAAAAATCATGTGAAGCTTTCTTATATGTAAGTATTCATACGGGATTCTTTACGATTGACAATTTTTTTTATGGGAATTAGGATCAAATTTTTGCCCGCCTTTTTTTTTCGATTGACGTTAATTCTGTGAAACTTGTTATATAGAATATTTTCAAGAGAGAGAATGAATAAATGTGCGCGCCAAGTTTATTGAAGCACCCATGAGAAAGATTTGAGCCCAAGCAGTTGAATTATCGTTGAATTTGAAGTTTGAAAAATTTAGTGTTGAGAAAAACGCAATATGGTATTTTCTGGCTTTTTTTTTTAATAAGTTTTGACGTCTCAAAATATACCCATCAGTTAACGAGATAACAATAAAAAACTGAAAATTTCGTATCAAGGAAAGAGTGCATCCATCAGAGAGAATTTCAATTAAAAATTCAATATTACGATAAATGAACATTCTTTTTCAGTTGAAATTTCTAAAATATCATCAGATCTATGTATGAATAAAACTTTTAAAGTCGATATTAAAAGTAATTGAATGATTCAAGTTTGAGCTTCGGCACACTTCTCTACATGTTGACGTACCTATTCTAATTCTTCGACTAGAACAGACTTGACTGAGGTTGAATTTGATGCATGTTTGGAAGAAAATAACATTAGCAGAAATGGTCCTAAACTCAAAGATCCAAACGCTTCATATGAGCTCAAGTGGTAGGCATCAGTTAGGATAATTCTCTAGGAAGGAAAATTTTGTTCTAAGAAAGTACGTCTGTTCCTTTCATCATAGAACTTTCGGTAGTGCTCCTAAGAGAGATTTCGATTTTTCTCAGTGTAGCTTAACTATTTTTCGAAAAAAAGGGCTGAGCCTACGTCTGATTATGCCATTAGTTTTTTGGCATTATTTTATTTGGTCGAATAAGTTTATGACAGAAATGTATGACACCTATTGCAGATAAATTATGAAATATGAACAATATTCTATAAAAAACCTACTTATATCTGATGGAGATGTCAAATGAAAACGAATAATTTTGTATGTTAATAGGTTGTGATTTTTTTTAATATCTTTTCAATTTTCTTATATTGCGAATATGATTTATATTCATTTTGATATTTATTATAGATAGAAAAAAAATCAAATGGAAGTGTACATCTGGCTTAAATGACGTTTTATATTAATATTTCGACGAGTTAACCTTATAAATGATGAAGAGATAATTCTACTGCATAATATCTATTAATTGAATTATTAATATATATTTAATTTCTTATTTTTATTTTTTAGGAATGTTAAAACAAAATATAAATCATTTATTGAGAAGGATTTTAATTGACTATTATCTTTCAAGAGATATTCTTTGGTTAAAAAACAAAAAAAAATTCCAGTTAAATAAAATATATCGAATTCTATATTTCATACGAATTTTCATAGTCGAGATATGATTATCAAAGAGTTTTCTTATGATTAAATATGAGTGTTATACAATTTCTGATGTTTCGAATTTTCTTCTTTTTTTTTTTTTTAATTTTTAATTTATAGTTAAGATCAAATATAATCCCTTGGTTTTCTTTATCAGTTCAATAGTTTGCATGATACAAAGTATTATTTACTTAGAATAAAGAAAAAGAAAAATGAAATATTTTTCAACATTCCAATTGCATCATCGTACGTAAAGAACATGAACTTTCATGACAAACAATGAAGATTTAATTATAAATCGACATGAATCATATCGACGTTTTGCTATTAATTAATGTTTTTTCTTCGTTTGATTTATATCTCAATGGATGATTGTATATATGTCAAATAACATATGTATTCATTAATATTAAGTGATTTTCGAACATCTTATTGGTTTACTTTTTCAAAAAAAAAAAAATAAGAAAACTATATATAATTATTTGGCAATTTACTCAATGTGTTCTATGATACAAAAACAACAAGACAAACAAATTGTTTTTGTTTTTAGGTATTCGAATAAGATTTGATTAAATCATTTGCCGATCAACGGATCAGTTTGTACATTATTTTATTCGATTTTGTCGTTTTTGTGTATTTGATTTTTTTTTGTTTCAACAAAAAAAAAATCTTATTATTATTTTTTTTTTATCTATTGACAAAATCAATAGTTTCTTTTCTTTTTTGGGAGATTATGTTTGAATGAAATACATAATCTCTTATCTGAATAGCTGCTCTTTTCTTCATATTGAAATGCCATCATTGATTTAGAATTGTATATATATCGACCTTCTATCATCACAAGAAAGAATTTCTTGCCATGTAGATGCTTCGAATCAATTATGCTTATAAGAAGATAATATTATTGCTTATTATTGAAATAGTATCTATGTCAAAATATTCTATATCAGACGTGTATTGTACGACCAACAAGGAATTTATGGTCGAAAATCTACACGCATACACCACATGATAATGTCAAATACGGATTCTTCTTTTTATTCTCGTGTATGATAGAATACAAGAGAAAAAAAAGACAATCTTTGTCTACACTTTGCGTAGGCGAACACACACAGTCTGCAGTAGCATACAACAAAAAAAAAACAAGAAAAAAAAAGGAAAAGAGTCGATTTTTCTTCTTACTCGTTCGTCCGCTTAAGCGAGCGGGTGCAATAAAACCACCCCGTTTTTTTTTCTTTTTCTCCCTCATTCTCATCATTCATCGTCGACGGGACACAAGTAGGAGAGTAAACCATAGTTGTTATTTCTTTCTTTGCAGTTTTTCTTTTTCAATACTTACTTGAATGCATACAGTTCTACATCAAGAGTAAAAATACACGCACAAAAATAAAACGAGAACTTACATATTTCTAGATTAATTTATATATAATATATATATCAGTCAGTACGTCAGATAAATGGTAATAAGCAAATAAAAAATAATTTATTGAAATTTTTATTTTTATATTGATTTATCTTAGGCTCCTGTTGATCCAACTGTTTTACTTAATACAATCGTCTATTTATTAGATAATAATGGTGGACTAAAAAATGATCGAGGTGTTCGACAATTTATAACGTATGTTTAATAACGATGAGTTTTTTTTTTTCTCTTGTTCGTTTATTATAAATTGACATAAAAAAAAAAAAAAAAAAGAAACAAAAAACAAAAACTAAATTAAAATTTTTAGACTTATGAAATTAACTGAAAAACTAGTGAATAAAGCAATATATTTACAAATTCTTAATCATACAAAATCTGAAGATATATTAATAACGTATGTAAAATTGTGTTTTTGTTTTTTAATTTTTTTTTTCAATGTTCTATTGAAAAATAAAAAATAGAATAAAAAAAAAAAATAGTTTTTCTTATATAAATTATTCATTTTTCTAGGTTTTTAAAATGTGATGGTCTTCGAATTTTAATCAAATGGCTTTCACATTTTAGTATTGAACATAATCATGCATTTCTACTCGATACATTAAATATCATAGGCAATATGCCATTCAATATTGATAATGTTTCACAGAATGATATCGACGAGCTACAGCTCAAAATAGCCGAACTTACATCGGCTGAGTCAGGGAAAGAAAAGGGTCAGTGTTTTTGGTATAAATATCAAAAGAAAATAATAATAATTCAAACAATTAATCGAATTTACTTTTTTTCTCGTATAAATTATTCATCGGAAAAAAAAACAAAAAAAAAAAAAAAAGAAGAATTTTTTTTTTCTCTTGATTCGACTCTATATGGCTACAATGCGATAACAAGTTGAAAATTATCAAAGCTTTTTTTTTCTGCATACAAGAAAATATTAGTATAGTTGATTCTTCATATATCTATACAATAGCGATTATCGAATGGAAAGTTTTTTAATCGATGAACTCTTTCATTTGATGTACTTCGTTGAATAATTATAATATGATCATGAAACAAATATCAACACGGAATTATATTTAATTTAATGAGAATAAAATAAGTTTCGATTGATAACGGCATGCATATTCAAATAAAGAAAAGGAAGAACGCTATCAATTATGCAGAATATGAAGCTATTGTACAATAATATTGAGTGAAAACATGCTACATATGTGCACATTATATATGTATGATGTATGCTGTTTTCTTAATTGAGAAGTTATATTTTGTCGGATTAGCGCTCTTTTCTTTATTCATCTCTAGATCGTTATTCTATCTATTGAATAATTCCTTAATATTATTTAATTTCTTGTAGATATTCGTGAAAGTGCTCGTCATTTATACGATATTTGTTCGACAAAAGGAGTATTTAAAACAATAGAAACTCATACTCCTCATCTTGATATTGACAAATCTATTTCTTCTCGTATGTATTATAATCAATGAAAAAAAAACACACATATATACACACACACACACACACATATGACATTCTTATAAATCAATTATTTCTTTGTTTTCTTTTAAAGAACCTTCGTCGATTTCTCGATCATCGATTTCCATCGATAAACCTCCATTGACATCTCAACGATTGAATAAAACCGAACGAACATTGCTTTCATCAAATAATAATACATTCCCTTTCAATGATAGGAAAATGGCAACAACCGCAACATTGACTGCCGTGTCAGCAACAAATAGTAATAGTAATAATACGGATAATAACAAACGAAAAACTGAAGAGAATCTAGGACCTACAACAAATAAAAAACCGACACATCGTCGTGTTATAACACAAACACAAATAGATACAAAAAAAATGAAATCATCAATTGATATAGATGAAAGTGATGGTTTAAATAAAACTAATTTATTAAATCGAACTACACCAACATTTCGTATACCTAAGATAGGAAGGTAGGTTATTCATCGTTTTTTTTTTTTTCTTTTTCTTTTAGGTTAAATTCAAATTACATCGATCGACAAAGTCCGTGTTATTATGTTCCTCTTTTTATTGTTATTGTATCTCGTTTTTTTTTGATAGTTTTTTTATTGTTATTTTGTATCGATTTGTGAAAATTTTGTTTTTTTCATTCATTTATTTTTTTTCGGTGATGTACAGATAATTTCTAACTTTTTAGGAATCAATAACAAGGTAATTTAGGTTAGTTTCTTTTTTGAAAACTATACAAGAAAAAGAAAACGGTAGGTAGTTTTCGGTCAGATGAATGAATAGTCTCTTAATGTTTTTTTTCATAATGTAATTTATATTATTATATGACGAAATAAAATGAATTAAAACAAAATGATCAAGGAATTAATGTTCTTCTATGTTGATACAATGGTGCTGAATACAGAGACGGACTTTGTCGATCGATGTACATATATATGTTGTTTAATTATTATTGATTTTTTTTTGTTTTTGAAAATCTCTATGTGTATATTTATTTTATTTTTATTTTATTTATTTCAGGCCAAATTCGAATGTACCATCACCACCATCAGAAATAAATGAAAGTACACCATCTCCTACATCTACAAATTCACAAACAAAAATGAATATATCAATAAATCGACAATCGAGTGATGAACTTAATTCACAACAAGGAAAAAGAAAATTTTCTTTAAGTCAATATATAGAACGTAAAAAATTAAAATCGAATGAATTACAACAGACTTCTTTAGCTGATACTGATATGCGAATAAATAATACGGGAAACTCAAAGGTGAGACAAACAAAAAAAAAAAAATAAACACGTCAAAAAAAAGAATTCAATCATAGAAAAAAATAGATTTCATGCTGAGATATACTACTTGCTAAAAGTTCTTTGATTACATAGCAAGTAACGAAATTTGAAACTTTTTTGCATGAAATTTTTTAATAAAAATAGTTGTTTGATAAACTCTGATTGAATTTATCAACCCCAAAATCAATTGACTTGAACTACATCGGATTTAGAGAAAAGAATACTGTTTTTTTTTTTTTCTTCAACCTCCAACTAGGCTTTTATGACACTTTTATGGTATGCCATTATTTTGAATCATTAATATCTGTTTTTATTGACACATAAAGCTTCACATGTCTTTACTGTGGACTGTAATTTGTTGTAATACTAAGGCGCGATGGCATTTTCATGATCCGGAATGGTCTTCCCATAGATGGCTACTCCACAAATGGCTATAATCATGAAATTTGCATAGAGTACTTAATTACAGCAGACAATTCACTGGAAAACTTCAAGACAAATAGTCGAAGTAACAGGTTACTTTTTGATGATTCTGACCAAGTCTTCTATTAATAAGGAAACTACCTGAATTGACATCAAGCTGTTTGAGTTCATATTCGAGTCACGAGGAGGTGGTTCGTGTCTTTTAATGCTCTAGAATAGTGGCGGGGCCAGAGGGGGCTCAGCCCCTCTAGAAACCTTTGAGCCCCCTCTAGGATGAAAACGATCTAGCATTAAGATGGAAGAGCATACTTATTTTCAGCCTCAAAACTGTAGCTAGAGGGGGCTCAGCCCCCTCTAAAAAATTTTTCTGGCTCCGCCACTACTCTAGAGCCGACTTGTAATGTTTTACTGAATTTTCAATCTCGCTTTAAATATTTACTGAAAAATTAAATAAGGACATTCCNAAAAAGAAAAAATAAATCACAATTTAATAATATTATAATTTTCATACAAAAAATTTTTTTTTTTTTTTTTTTTTTTAAGATACAATTATAAAAAGTAATTTAAGTGAACCAGGTGTTAAAAAAGTAATCAAAAAAAAAGTAATATGGGCTGATGAAAAAAATCAAACACTTGTACAAACATCATTTTTTGAAGTCGATGATTCCGAACTATCTGATATGCATATATTTGCGCGTACATGTGCAGCTAATATATCCATAGCACAACTTGAAAAAGTTATGGAACGTGATTTACGTAAACGACGTGGTATACAAGATATAAATTCAATTGATAATGATGATAAACAAATTTTAGTACCATTACCATCATTAATAAAAATTATATTACCTGATACAATACAAATTCCGCAAATTGTTTCACAAGAACGTCTTGTACAAGAAGAACGTGAAAAAACTGTTTTACAAGCACTTTTTATACGTTCATTTTTACCTGATAGTCCAGGTGAACCTGATGGGGATCTTATTGGACATAATCATATTGAAAGAAGTGAACCAAAATTACTTTTTATAATTGTATCTTAAAAAAAAAAAAAAAAAAATTTTTTGTATGAAAATTATAATATTATTAAATTGTGATTTATTTTTTCTTTTTGTTTACTTGTTTCATCCGGTTTTGGACTAATTACAGATTGATTATCGGAGATGTAAGAATAAATAGAAATAAAAATAATTTATCGCAATTATTAAAATATCATAATATTGATTTTGTTTTTTGCTTTTTAAAAATAAACTTTTTAAATCTATATTTATATATATATATATATGTATGTATGTATGTAGGATACTTCATCATCTTTATCGAGTACAGTAATACCAGTAAACAGCAATAATATAACAACGACAAATATACCTTTAGTTTCAATAAATAATCCAATAACAACAACAACAATAACACCAACATCAATATCAATAACAAACAGCACAGTTACACCGAGTCTTTCATCATTTTCATTTGGAGATGTATCACCTGAAGTTGCTCAAATTCTTGCACAAGCTAAAGGAAATTTAACATCAGCTACTGCAAATATTCAATCAACAACAGTACCATCAAATTCATTAATTAATTTATCTACAACTATAACAACAGCTACATCAACAATAACAAATCCAACGGTTACATCAACACCTAATCTTCCGCCACCGCCGAGTTTACTTACAGCAATACTTAATGCTACACGAACTGTTAATAATGACACAGCTAATGGTAAGAATATAATATACTTGATGATAGAACATGTTGACATAACAAATAATATTCTATTCGTTATTTTAATAAATGAAAGAATGCTTTTTTTTTCCGAATAATACAATCTGTTAAGGTTATCAGTGGTACAAATCAATTTTATTATTCGAAATAGAAATGGAAAGTTTATATGTAGATTGAAAAACTAAAGAAACTTTGAAATATCTGAAAATATCATTGAATTATTTAATAGGGATGCACCAGTCCCAGTTCTGACTGGTAAACTGGGTACTGAGTCCTTTGATCTTTAATTCATTAGTCGAGTAGTACTTTCTTTTCTAGTATATTGTCATACAGTGATTTTTAGGCTGTTGAAATAGTGATATAAGTTATGATAATGAATCCATTGGCTAATCAATTATTTCTATATATCAATCGTTATAATTTAGAATACTATAAATGAATTTCATGTCTTCAGGGTGCAACATCAAACCAATCCCCATACCCACACCCTTAGAAAAGAGGGAAGTACTGATCGATTAGCGGAATAAACGCCAAATGACTAAGTACCCAGTTACTGGCACTGGTGCACACCTATTATTTAGTAAGAAATTATCCATATGAAGATAGCATAACGGTTTTAGATAAAGTCACAATACTTTTAATATTAAGACATATGGAGATGAGATTTATGTGAATACATTCGATGGTTCAAAACAAATTGAAATTGAAACTATTAAATCTATGACGAGAAATCCTTTTTGTTTTTCAGATTGAAGATTTCAGTATACATATATAATATTGTTTTGTTTAAGTATATGAAATATATGATGTTTTTTAATTTCAACAATTCAATAGTGAAAATTTATTAAAATAGATTGAAAATTTTTAGAACCACCGAGTTGTAACATTCGATTGCATGTATCGAAGCTTTCTCACAATTATGCGACCTTATAAACCGAAGTGTGAAGGATTTCAAGTGACATAAATTCGTCTTGATAGCTTCATATCAATGAGAAAAAAAAAAAAAGCTTATCTGTCATTAGATCTTGTTATAGTGCCAATAAACAGATGATAACTTATGTCATAATTTTATGAGCTGAGAAAATTTCTCGTGCTTTCATCATTCAAAATCTCTATAAATAGTTGTATTTCAGTAGTATTTTATCCAGGAAAAGGCGATGATTCTCCGCGAATAGTGGTTGGCCTCCTCAAAGTTCTAAACAACTCCCTGGACGTAAAAATCCTGAATAAAACATTATATTTCAATTTACTCCATATATTTTTGTTAACTGGGGTTTAACTTGCACCAGTGGCGTACGCAGAAATTTTTCAAGGGGGGGCCCAACTTCATAAGGGGGGG